CTCCAGCCTTTAGCTCTTAGTGTGCTCTGGGGTTTTGGTGCCAGGCAAAGCATTGGCTGACGTGTGTGGAGAGATACAGCACCTGCTGCTTTATGACAGCAGAAAATACTTTAGCATTACCCTGGGATGCTTTAATAAAGACCCTGTGAATTCAGGATCAAACATGGGCAAAGCATTTGCAGCAAGGAGGGAAATGGCTAACAGTGGGATATGAGCAGCATCGTGGGTAATTACACTATCACTGTCTTAAATGTCCTAGGATAAGAAATTGTGCATTTGTATTTTTCCCTGTGGCTTGCAACCTCTTCTACTCAGTCACAAACTGTCTCAAAAAAGACTGTCTGCAAAAGCGTGCTTTTAAGGGATAAAGGAAACGACATGAGGACTGGGACAGGAGCAGGTAGAGTATGTTTGTGGCTACGCATGCAGGGGGGAAATGGGAGATTACAAGGGAATGGGTATTGTGATGAACAGTTGTCCCAGACTAACTATGTAAAAGAAGATGACAGGAATTCCTATGCTGTGATGTAGTTATTTTTGTAAGCTTTTAAAGGAACCAAAAATGTACAAAGTTCACAATATCACTGGACTTGTTAAATGTAAAAGTAACTGTGTTCATTCCTGTAATCAGCATTCATAATACAATATGTTGTCCCTGAACTTTGCTGGCAAAACTGATGTCCCCAGAGAGAATTTGAGGAAGCAAACACGGCAACATTAGTACCACGTCTCTTTAGAAAGTCTGGACCAAACAAGACACAGGTCATGCAAAACAGTGAACAAACAAACAAAAACCCTATAAACCCCACCATGTTTTACACAACCAGCTCTTGGGACTACAGAATGACCTCTTTAGCAGAATGTTTAAGGCAAATTTAGGGATTTTGTAGCAGGATTTTCATTAAGTTCTCCGGGGTTTGCACAGTATGATAAAATCAGAAGGCGGAAATAGGAATGAATGAATGGATTTGACAAATGGCTGCAGTCTCGATTCCGGTTGTCAGTGGCTGTTCCTAAAGGGATAAGTACACTTGTCCCATGTGTTCCTACCTCTCTCCTGGGAAGTGTTTAGGCTACATATGAAAGTGAAAACCAAAAAGAAGTGATTGAGGCTGCCAGGCTTGGTTTGAACCGTTTGAAATGAGAGGCTGCCTCTGCTGTGGAGTGTCAGCTTTGGAGAGCAGTCAAGCATCGAGCAACAGCCTTAATTTTTAATTTCTTTGCCTTTGTAGATTTAAGACAGACTCCAACCAGATGTTTGTGTTTATGAAGCACTAAATACATTGTGTAATTATAAGATTCTGAATATAATTGCTGTGTATGCTGCATAATTTAAGTTCCAACTGTACTCGCATCTCTCATTTACCAAGCCAGTGAAGGATATAATAATATTGAACACAGTAACAGCTCAGAGCTTTCACAGTGTAGTCATAGAGGTTGCACTTAATGAGGTTGTTTGTGATTCTTATAAAGAGATCCTACCCTGGCTGATAAAATCACAGTTGCTAAAGGTTAAGGTTATCTGTAAGATGAGTCTTTTCCTTGCAAGTCTGGATATAACACCCTGAGTAAGGAAATACCTGATACTAAACGTGTCGTCTGGGACTGGAGATCTGCCAGTTCTCAGAGAGTGAGATCTGCAACATACAGTGCATTGTGGCAGGGGAGAACAGGGCTGCTCTTGGGTATTAGAAGGAGCTTGCTGTCTTGTCTGTGAAGTGGTTGGACATCAGCAGACTCTCATGAATCTGAGGAAACAAAGGCTTGGCTAAAATAGTTCTTTGGTGGTGGGATCTCGCATCCCTGTTGGGCTTTATAAATGCCAGGCAAGGACAGTTGTACTGTTCTCAGAGGTTTCTTATTTTTTGAGGTGATTGTGGCTTCCTGGCCATACAGTTTACTAGAACCTTAAAGTTTATTTCTGCTCCGTGGTGGAAATGTGGGGAAATATTTCAGATGTTTTTGCAGAAGTATGATTCAAATATTCACTGATAAAACCTGAGCCTTTTCTGACTGAGGAATGCCTGATAGGGTATGGGGCACACGTATGGTAGACTTAAAATTGCCATGTTTTTCATTCCATTTCTTATGAAAAGGGTGGAGGATGGTTTTGAGCTGGGGCTCCGTGCCTCCAAATCGCTGAGGTTCTGCAGATACTGTTTGCTTCCCGCCCCTGCTTCTATTTTGATATCAAGTTGCCAAACCAAAATGCAGCTTTCATGAAGCAGTAATTTTAGCAAAAATTTATTTAACTTAATTCCTATTCTGTCTTTACAGCTTGCTGGTTTTGCATCTCACAATATGTAGACTGAAGCATGTGGCCTTATCCACAGGCTCAACTCTCCAGCTATCTGGTGGGCTATAAGATCCTTTAACCTAGTGCCCAAACAAAAGTAGTCAACTTTTTCTTTCCGTTCATACTCCTATAGCTTTTATTGCAGAGATGTTACTCCAAGACTTGTCAGCAGCAGGCTGCTATCAGACTTATCAAACACAACCTCTGAATGCTGCTATTAATTTTCCTTGGCAGTTGTTCTTGCCATTATAACCCTTCCCTTTTTGGTTCTTGTTTTCCTCCAGCTCAAATTCAGTGTCCCATTTCCTTATGTACTTCATACATCATTATGTCTAGGCCTGCACTAGTAGTTAGTTATGGGAAGGTAAAGTAATAAAAAATATTGACGTACCATTAGGTATAAGAAGGTTCCTCAGAACATACCTATTTGTTCAACAGTGAGTGTAATTTAGCACTGGGTGAAACTTACTGACGTCATTGAATCAGTGACAATACTGGACTTACTATTGAGCAACGAGAGAGAGCAGTAAGTGAATGAAACTCATCCTGAGTGGATTGGACTGACCTCAGTTATGTTTGGGCTGACTTAAGTTTATGCCAAGACCCAATGCTCTGACTCCCTATTGGTGCTTGAGCTGGAGGAGAGCAGTGAGTTTTCATCAGCTTGCTTTGAAAGAGTTAACGGCAGTGCTTTTTGTGCTTTAACCTAGGTTTTCTTTTTTAAAACCCTATCAGGTTTTGAGTTTCAATTTTCATGATCTAAGGAGAATTTGAAAACTAGAGAGTGTTTATGTCCAGAGAAGGCAATTCTGCATTAATTTTGTGAGAAATCATGATGCTAACTCGATTTTAGTAAAGACTGGTTGGAATTTAGAGTTTCTGATGAAATCTCAAGCCGTACACGTTTCTCATCATTTCAGACTAACAAGTATGTAAGTATTTGCATTCATCAATCTAAGGAGTTCATATGTATTTAAATCCATATGCCCACTGCTCTTTGCTTGAGTATTACAAATTTAAATGAAACTTAAAAAGCTACAGGTGTTTGTTTAAATCTGCTGAATGATCCCTCATGAAAAGAAAGATATTTCTCTTGAAGTGTGATTTTTGTCTGCTTTTTGGAGTCACTTTGGAGAAGAGCCTATTACATTGCATGGCGCAGCATTGTCCTTAGCATTTCTGTTAGAGTAGCAGCAAACTGAGGCAGACAACTTTGTGCTGGGCAGTATACAAACATCCATACCCATACTGTGTGCAAAGAAGGAAGTCTCTTCCCTGTTTTGCTGTTGAGACAGAAGTGAATTGCTGAAGGGTATGCAGTACGTTTCTGGCAGAATTCAGATTGCTCAAATCCCTCCAGTCCTTTAGCTACAGAACATCCTTTTCCCTTAATTTTTGTACAGTAGAAGTATCTCTCTTAACATGTCCTTTGTAGACTAAATGCAAACACGTTAATAGCTTACGATTTAATTTCCTTCTTTGTATGTCTGTGATGATTTTAGTGTGATTAAACATTTCTAAGATATCACAGTTGTGCTTGTCCCTTCCAAATGTGATGAGTGAAAGGTTCCTCTGAACAATCACTGTTTCATTCCACATTCTTGCCTTATGTAGAATTTGTATTCCTCAAATCCTGCATTAGCTGCAGACTTTTTCTTAATTTTGTAGCTACAGATTCTTTCTCAATTTCAATAAGACATTTCCAGCTTGATTACAGTTATTTTTTCAGAAGAGCAATTGAGAAGGAGGGAACATCAGTTCTGTGGAGATGGTGCCTTCTGGCAGTTCAAACACTGCCTCTCCAGGGCATGATGAAGAAAGCAAAGCTCACACAAAGGAAAACAGAGCAGGGACCCCTGCTTTCCCATTGAGAAGTCAGTAACAACTGTCTCAGCTCTAAAGGTTCCCACCACTGAGACAAGGCTGCAGCTTGCAGGGTTACTGTTATTTGGTTTAACCATCTGACTTCCAAGTGTTTCTCTCTTAGGAGATTTGACTGAAATATATTACTTTAGGAGCCACAGTGAGGAAAATTTTCTTGGCAACTGGCAGCTACATGCCTTTTAAACTTTAATGCAGCCACTTTCTTACTTGGTACAGTGGGAAATTCTTTGTCTTTGAAGTGAAGTGAGAAAACTGCACTTACTCAAGTTAGGTTTCTGTTACATTACTAAGTTATCAAGTGCAGTGCAGAAATATGAATAAAACAAATTGTCTTGTTTGAAAATCGGTTACTGGAGGCCAGGTCTGCATTTCCAAAGGGTTATCAACCCTTCCAGGTCTTTTCTGAGAGAAAGTACTTCCTTTTTCAGGGAAGTACTTAAATGCATGTGTGTCCTTTCAGAACATCCAGTGGCACGTTTCAGACTTGAATGCCTTAAGCATCACCCAGCGAAGCAGTTGTAGTTTTGACCTTTTGGGGCAGATCGTACTCATTTAAACATGAGCTGCTTTTTAGAGATTGTAACATCTGTCCTCCCTTCTTGTCAGACATTGCTTGCCTTTGCTAAATTTCAGTCACAGCAGGAGGCCACCTTGTTGTGCTCTAGTGACTGGAGAAATCTGGCAATCCTCGCTGTTGGACCGACACCAAGCTGGTATGGTTAGCAGGGTTGCTCAGGGGTTGGGTGTGAATGGCTTATCTGGGAAGCTGTGATTATGTGAAAGCTTTAAGAGACTTTCTCTTATCTTCTTTTCTTTGCAGTGGCCAGTTTGCTATAGTGAAGAAATGTCGAGACAAGAGCACGGGGCTGGAGTATGCTGCTAAGTTCATTAAGAAACGCCAGAGCCGGGCCAGCCGCCGCGGAGTGAGGCGCGAGGAAATCGAGCGGGAGGTCTCCATTCTGCAGCAGATCCTGCATGCCAACATCATCAAGTTGCATGACATCTATGAGAACAAGACGGATGTGGTCCTCATCCTTGAGCTGTGAGTAAGGGGACTTCCTACCCTCTGGGGTAGGATGAGGTAAATAGGAAGCGGAAAGGGCTGCAGAGGCGGACAGAACATAGAGGCACTGTTAAAATGGAGCTGTTGTGTTCTCAGGCCTCGCAGGTCTTGGCAGGAGAATTGAATGAAGTTGCTGGTGAACGGGCCCCCCACTTCATCCACGTGCCCTGGGGATACAGGTGCACCTTCACATCAGTTGAGGCTGCTGTTACTGAGCCAGGGAGTGCTGTCAGCTTGAAAACAGTTTACTCACAGAGGGATTGCCTCATGTCTGCCTGGCGCTGCCCTGACGCGAACCTTGGAGGAAGCACAAATGGCCTCCGAATGTTCATTTCAGTTTTCTGTCTGCTTTCATCTCTCCCAATATGTGTGAAGGTGTCAAGCCCTTTGCAAAATCTGCAGCCTTTCTCACTACTCCCGTATTTTCCTCATTTAGAGGAGACTGGGGAAAGAAAGAGAGGAGGGCAAGGGAAGAGGTTTTTTTAATCCCTAGACTTTGACTATTGAGGATGAATAGCGGCAGGGTGGGAGTGAAGGAAAGCAGCTTACTCTTCTGTTGTGCCACCATGCGCCAGAGGAAAACCCCTTCCCACTTAAGACTGTGCCTCTTTATACCCAAACTTACACTGGGATAATGAATTTGGATGAAACTTGGCACTTGAGTTTTTGCCATTCCAGGTGTTTCATGGCTGAAGATCGGGAATGTAATAGAAGTGTGAGAGACGGTGTGCATGGATGATCATATAGACCTATGTCCAAAACCTCTCCTCCTGTACAGTCGCAGTGTGTTTTGTTGCTCTGCCTTAAGGAATTGAAAGGGATGTAAATTCTTAGTGCAGATGCAAATTTGTATCTATGTGTGTTTGTGTGGCTCAGCCTTCCTGATCTCCACTGAGAACCAGGGAAAGCCTGAACTGTCACACAGAGCAGAGCAGAATTGTGTGCTTGTACTCATCAGGGCCAGGAATGGAAGTAGCTCTTACAATAAATGGAGCTTTGCTGGTCAGAAGGTATGGTCTTGGCCTAAGGGGTTGAAGTTTGTCATGTAGTGAAGGAAGACAAACATCAATTTAAGGATTTTTGGGCTATGTCCTGCTTTTTGGTGGAATCAGTATCATCGGGTTCACAAAGCTCTGAGTCTTAGAGGAGCTGAACAGATGATGATGGGTCCTTTATCTGTCAGTTCATGATATTAAAGGAAAGCTGTAAGCAAGGAGACAGCCTGAGGTCTTCTACTTACTGCAGTTTTTGGGTAATGAGTAAATGATGCAAGTTTTCTGTATGTATGAAGCACGAAATACAGAGACACCATGGCTGAAGGTACACAGCCCCTCTGTTCCCTTGGGCCCCTGCTTGGCCTTGTGTATGGAATCCAGGCAATGAGGCTTTGATCCCGGAGTGAGACGAAATAACCATCCGCTTTCCCGGGGAGCTGGAATTTAGGCCAGGGAGCATTCCTGGAGATTACTGTGGCTGCTGGCAGATGGCATATGAGTGATGATAGGCATCTGTTAAATTTTAAGTGTGGTCTGTGGCCAAATGGGGGTCTCTGTAGCCAAGCACTGGAAGACAGCTGGGTTTTTCTGACTGGCAGCTACTTTGTGCTAAAACAACCTCCCATTTCATTAACTTCTGCTTTTTCCTGTCCTCACATGGCCTGACACGTTTTGTGTGTCCTGTTGTCAGGCTGTAGCTTATTGCTCTTTTTAAAAGGCAGGGTGCAATTTGACCTGATTAAGGCCCCTGCATTCAGCTGCTGTGTACAAATTGAGGATTATGGTAATTGCTAATAAAGACAATTAAATTCTCTCTGTAAATAGATAATCTCTCCTCCTGACACTATGCTACCAGAGTCTCATACTCCCTGCAGTTCATCAAAATAAGCATTACAGCCCCTGGTCAACTGGCCTTATGTTAAGCTGCAGTGGACTTCAGCTTCCAAAGAACATCCCCAATATTCTTGATAAATCGAAGAAGTAACCCTGGTGTTTGAAAGAGGCTTTAGCTGAAATGACTCTCTCCCAAACTCACTGTCTCCTCTTTACACAGCGGTTGGTTCTAGAGGTGCTGTTTTCTTCTGTTCAAGGGCAGGAAAAGCATTGCCGAGTCCACTGCTGCTAAGTGCAGTTTGGCAGGTACACGGTTTGCCCTTCCTTGTGCACATTGTTCAGGGATATGCTCCCCACAGCTTTTTGTGATTTTGCTGTTCTCTGTCTCTTGGGCCCTGCCTTGAGGCTGCTTTGCCCAGACAAAAGCAGTCTAAAGATGGGTTTGGTTGATACACCAGTCTCCTCTGTTGGTGAGTGTGAAGGTTGTGTACACAAAATAAGCAGCTGTTTCCAAGAAGTAAGGCAGCATTGACAGTTGTTTTTTACTGAGTTTGAAGGAAGAGCAAAGGTATTATTTGCTTGCTGCTTTGTTTGCCTTGGGAATAAGGTGACATAATAAAAGGGAAAAGATTGAATTAGAGGAAGGAGTTTTTTTGTAACCTAAGGTCCTTTGAGAAAGGAGTATTTGCTCCTTTACAGGTGGTGCTGATTTAGAAAACATACCTCCCTGGATGTTCAAATGTAACTTGTAGTGCACTTATGAGGGTTTTACTGCAAAGGAGTTAGTATTGAACTGCCTTTTGGGGGGATTCCGTAATGGTTGGCTTTAGGGATTGCCAAGTCTCTTCTGCCAGCAGTTTCTCTGAGTTCAGATGAATAACTTGGTTAAGAATGATCCTGCCCTAAACTGCTTACCACTCCCTGTGCACAGTCTACTCAAAACCTGGTTTTCATGCTAAGTCTTTGTTAACGAGAAATCATCACATCTCTTCTACTGAACTTTCCTTTAAATTACTCTTTTAAGGTCTCTGCAGCTTCGCCTAATGTCTTAGGCTATATCTCAAGAGACTGGAGATGAGTGTACTGTTTGTAATGTATGCCAGTCTCTGACCTTCAGAAAACAAAATGCTCCTGTAGTGGTTGTAAGAAGGAGTCATTTCCTGATAGAGTACAGAGGGGCTTCAGACACCTGAATCTTCTTTTTGCTTCCTTTTTTATTTTAATGTTGTATTCTGTACCTTGGAAATCTCTCCCTGTCTAGCCTGATTCAGGGTTAGTGTAAACTAGAGAGAAGAGGGAAAGTACAGTCAGGAGCTAGCAACTAAATCTCCTGTGATCCTTGTTCCTATAGGCTGTACAGTGTCTTCAGTAATGCCTTAAGGGTAGCTGGTTGCCCAGGATGTTGCTGAGGTGCTGGAGGGCTACATGGGCTATCAGTCTGGCCGAGAGAGAACTGCTTTATTCTTAGTCCTGCTTGAAGAGTCCACCTTAAAGAACAGCTATCGAGGAGGTTTGACAGGGTAAAAGAGGAAGAGAGAGTAATGTGCTTACATGGTTGAATTCCAGAAAAGTACAAGAAAGTGTCCTAGTGCAGCTGGCTTCCTGGTGGCAGGGCCCTAGTGCCTGCCAGAGGTGACTGCTTAAGTGCAGTTTGAATAGAAGTCATTAAGGAAATGGTACTTGCCTGCTCTCTGTACACAGATTCCACCAAGAGACTTTACTTAAAGCTTTCTTTACTGGCTTGTCACAGCTGTAATAATTTGTAAACTAAAGAACCAAGACCCCTAAACCTATTACAGTGTGAAAAGGAAGCAGTGTTCCCTGGCTCCTGAAATGCACAGGGTAAAACACAACCTGTCCAGCAAGGCTGATGGTAGTGCTGAGACCCTCGGTCTGTGTAACCTGAAAAGGAAATCAGAGACCAAACGAGAGTCTCACAGGCTGAGTAACATGAATAGGAAGGAGAAGGCAGCAGCCAGAGACAGCAGTTGCAACATATTTGTGTGTCATATAAGCTTTGTTTTTGTTTGCCAGACATTCAGTTGTGACAATTACAGGATCAAGTGACTTCTGCCCAGGTGAAGTGTCCTGCTTCCTGTTGCAAAGAAAGTGTCTGACTATGCGGGAGCTGCACAAAAAGTACCCAGTAGTCAATGCCCGTGTCAGTTGCTCTGTGTAAGTCTCTGCCTTTGGAACAGCAAGGTATGCTGTCACCCGCAGCAACAGGAGAAGCTAACAAGCCAAGTGGCTTTGTGGCTTTTAGCAGGTTGTTCTTGTTTGCAACTGACTTCTTGCAGTTTCTGTAGCCATTCACAAGAGTTTGCTCTGAAAGAGGCAGAGTAAGGAATCACCATCTTGTCACCACTGTGGTGTGTAGGAGCCTGGAGTCAGGGAATCCTTGCAAAGCCCTCTACATTGCACAGTGTTGTCTAACTTGTGTGTGAGTCACAGCACAGAGTTCACTCAAAGCATTTGAACCTGCCAGTTCTTTTGCAGGTGGTTCATCAGACAAGAGGGCCAGAAGCTTGTTTTCCAAATGTCTGTTGGGTCTCTGAGGCTTTGTGCTTGCCCTCTGGATCCTGAGCAATGTTGTGGTGGTACACCTGAACTCAAGTGCAACAACGGCTTTACAGGTGCCCCTACAGTAAATCTGAATGAGAACAGATCAATAATACCAATAATCGTGTGAACTGGAAGCAATAAATGTAAACATAATTATGAATAACAACTGCAAACAATGCCCCATTCAATATTTAGATCATATTGTTTCGTAATGTACAGAAAAATAGCACTGGACCTGTCATTACAAGGCACAAAAATGAAAATAGAAGTCTTATGTGTTAAATATGCATGGAATGTATTTCAATTTTGATGCAAAACCACACAGTTACTAATAGCACTTCCTTGATTTGGGAAAAATACTGTAGGTACCTTCTAACTTGCTACAATCTGCTTAATTCTTAAACATTCAGCACAAAATAGATGCTTTCCTGCCAGTTCTGTCAGGCAAGGATCTGTATTTAGGACAGTGCAATGGCTCTTCTGGAAAGAAAAGACATTCTATTGGCAGATCTTAATGTCTCATGTTTCTGAAGGCAACCCATGAGAGAAGTAACTCTTAACAGTTGTTGACTCTTCCAACTTGCTCTATTTCCTCTGTCTCGCCCAAAAGAGAACGTTGAAAAATAGCAGTTGAGGCAGTTAACACAAAGTCTGTCCACTGCTATATGTACATGTTTGTGGATTCATCAAAACAAATGTACCTTTTTTAGGGTCCTTTATAATCTTTAATGAATCAAATCTTGCAGCATTAGTGCCTTAGGGAGAGCTAGTCCTTAATTCACAGGGGAGAATTCACAGCTCTCTCAGGGGGGACCTGAGACCAGAACACAAAACTCTGGATTGTCTGCAAGAGTAGCCTTTTTCTAACTGTTTGGAGCTTTTTTGCTACTTCGGTTTTCTGTGCTTACATTTATGCCCTACAATGCAGTAGATAACAGGACATTTTCTGGTGTGTTTTGCAGGGTTTCTGGAGGAGAACTTTTTGATTTCCTGGCACAGAAGGAATCTTTGAGTGAAGAGGAAGCAACGAGATTCATCAAGCAGATTTTAGATGGTGTGAATTACCTTCACTCTAAGAAAATTGCTCACTTTGATTTAAAGGTAAAGATGGTGATTTAGACTTCTTATTGCTGATGGTTTTTAATCATGGACCTTTTATACCTTCTATAATGTTTTGGATACCTGTGTTTGAAAACATGTCTAAAATAATAGCTAAGACCATTTTAAATGCACTGTGCAGCTGAGTGCCCAAAGGAAGATCATCTCCCTTATCAGGCCTGTAGTAGCTTTTGGATGGGCTTATATATTTACTGACTGAGAAAAAGAAATTGTGAACCTTCATCCTTCAGCTGTTTGCATTTGTGGGATCATCCAAAGCATGCTGTTTAAAAAATAAAAATATTAGAACGATGTCCAGAAGAAATGTATTTTTGGGAAGAGGAGCCAGGTCCGGTTACAAAGAACTGTTGCTGCTTCCAATCCCCACTGTGTTTAGAATTACATGAGGAGTATGTGTTCTCCAGTGCAGTCTGGTTGATAGAAAGACTTCTTGATTTCTTAGCTGCCTAGGGTCTTGAAAGCGAATCACACAGAGCTCTCTTTGCACCATATGAGGTGCCATCTGTAGCTTTGGTCCTTGACTTTGGTATCAGTACAATTGGCCTAGACAGTACAGAAGACTCTCTCTCCTTTCGACTGTGGCCTACCTAGGTGAACATGCTTCTTTGAAGCTAGGAGTCTGTTGTCCTTGGGAATGAAACTCTTGAGACTAGAATAAAATGCTTTTTCAGTAGCAGGCTCACAGCTGCAAAACTGGCTGCCTCAAACATCACTGCTTCCAGAAATACGTTCAAAATGCGCTCATCTCCCAGGAGAAAGTAGAATAAAACAGAGGAGGGAAAAGAAACTCTACTGCTAGATACACGTTCCTTGTCCTGACTTGAAATTCAAGTTAGTTTATTACTGATTACATGTGTGCTATAGATAGACTCCTCTCAGATTTGCAGGATATATGTGCTGATGCCTTGTGTTAAATGTATGCCTAAAGCTGTCTTTGTCTTAAATTGCTTTGTCTTGAGCCAGTGTTAATGGCAGGTATGTAGTCATTGCAAATATTGCAAATCATATCTAACCTAAAAACTGGTTAGCAAACTTCCATCCAGATCATCACAGATTGCATGTGAAAAGCTTAGGAGATACGTGAACGTATGAAGGATGTGCACTTGATTTTGAAATCACTACATGAATCCAGAAGCCAAGGACTGAAAATTTTTGTTTTCTGTTAGAAAACAATGTAATATCCACAATTAAATTATTATGAGAATACAGGTGCAACTTTTTCTATATACTGATCTCTAGCTACTCATTTTGATATTTAATACCAGTAATGTTAGGTGGCCAGTGAAGATGTTAACAAGAAATGCAAGATAGAAATCAGAAGGGATAAGGAAACAGTCATTTCACTTATAGTGAACATCAAATGACACATTCACAGAATAACTCTCCTGGGTTTTCAAGGACTGGATTTGGAATTTTGCTGGTGTTAAATTGGACATGTATTTTTAAGCAGGGATCTGATTAGCTAGAGGATGATTTAGAATTGTCTTGTCACTTGACAGGGCTGCATTGACTGCAGTGGAGCTACAGCGACTTCTACCACCTAATGAATAAAACAGTCCAAAGGGGTAGTGACTGTGCCTTTTTGCCATTTCAGTCTGTTCTGTCTGCTCTCAACAAGCTTACATCATGTATCTGGGCAAACATATGCCCTCGATCCATGGAAGTAAACCAGAATCGTTAGCCTGAGGCTGAAATATTCTTGGTCCAGTGACTATGACAATAAATTATTCAGCTGCTCTCTTTCCCAGTGGAGCTTTGACTGAGAGTGTGTGTAAGCAAGAGCTGCTTCCACGTGAAAAGGCCAGGCAGCAGCCGGCAGGGAATTGAACTGTTTCACTGTTGCTCTTGAGTTTATGATTTAAGTTATGATAAATTAATGCATTAAAGCTCTTCATGGGAGGTAAATTGAACCCATAGGTTACTCTGAAACCTGTGAAATAGGGCCATGTAGGGAATAACTAAGACTGAGAAATTTAGCTGAAGAAAGAAGATTATCAAATATCAGTTACATCTGGTAAAGAATGTAAAAAGTCTGTGGTTGGGAAAGTTGGCTTTAATTTCACAGGTCAAGCTTCAGCTTTTCCCTTCAATGTTGTGAGAAATGCTACATGTTCTTTTAATAGCTTGCTATCATATACGAGCTAGGACCTCTGATCCCAACTTCTTCCATTTCCTGGACTGTTCAGATAACAAATCCTAGATTGTAGCTGCCTTGTTGTTGCAGCTGTGAATTTAATCTCATACAGAAGAGCAGTTTCTTGAAGTAGGTTTAGGTGTGACTAGAATACCTTTAATCATTTAATCAGACCTCTTCCAGTGGGTTACAAAGCGGGACAGGGACAACTGGGTAGAATCAGTAAAATTGCTGTCAGTCAAAATAGCAAGTGGTGCAGCTCTCCCTCAGGATCCAGCAGTGGTGCTCTGGCTCTGCACCAGCTGCTTCAGCTACCTGCTACCTGCTGTTGTGTGAGTGCCAGTTGTCATAACTGGGGCAGATCCATGGGGTCAGGGTGTGACATCTTCTCTGCGGGCCAGGGAGATACTTCCTGGTTTAAAAAGGGACAAGATAAACTGAGCTTGCACTTCATGTTGTATCACAGTGCTGCTGGTCTGATAGTGGCGTATCTTGTTAGATTAGGAAACTACATACAATGGAGTGAAAAACTCCTGTCTCATTGTGGGAACAAGGGTACCTTGTTTTCATCATGGCCACGGCCATCATTAAGGAAATAAGCTTAGGAGTGCTAACAGGAAGATAAAGGCAGATTTTGCACAAGATAGAATTACAGGAATGAAAGTATCATTCTTAGTAGATCTGCTTTGCTTTTATGTAGTTCTCCATTCAATTATGTCCAATTTCAGTTGTCATCCCTTTATCAAAAGAATGAATTGTAAATCGTTAGGCACAGGTATGTGTTTCTTGTTCTACAGTGTTGTATATGTGAAGAAAAAAAGGCACTTGAGAACTCTGCTACTTTCTCAAGATATTAATATTAGAATAATGAAGATCTATCTTTGGTTATTTTTAGCCTGAAAACATTATGCTTCTAGACAAGAATATCCCTATTCCACACATCAAACTCATTGACTTTGGCCTGGCTCACAAAATAGAAGATGGAGTTGAATTTAAAAATATTTTTGGAACTCCAGAATTTGTGGGTGAGTGACTGACCTGTTCCTTTGTCATGTATTGCAAGTTCCATGAGGAAGTTGAGATGTCTTTTCAAAGTGAAGAAGTGGGGGAGAGAGGTAGTTTCAATCACATTTCTTCAAAGTAACCTAAAACTAGAGGTTTGCTTTATTTTTCCAGAATAGGCAAAAGGTGCTTTCTATAAACTAGATATGCTACTTCTGTGAGAGTAGGCTGCTGCCAAATACATAGAGCTGTAAATTCAGGACTGTGATTGTGAAACCCTGCAAGTAAAAATTGTAATTCTTTTACTCTTGCCTGGGACACAGTAAGTAAGGTCTCTGCATTGCAGTGCATGGGGACACAATGCCATGGGTATCCCTAGCATTGCTCCCTGATAAAACTGCCTCACACTGTGTACCTGTTAAGTACTAGCCTCTCACCTCCCCTTACGTTTTGCCACCTGATTCTCTTTTTGTCACTGATCACAGTTGTAATATGTCTCACTTGGATTTTAGCTTAATCCTACTCATTTCTACTCATTTCAGTTACAGATTTTGGAGTTGGTTGAGGGGGGCCAAGGAGAGAATTGTTAAACACACCTGTTACAGACACCTTTTTGCCTCTCTACCTCACCTTGGTCTTTTCTTTTACATGCAATCTTACATGTGGATGTTTTCCAACAAGGAGATGGTTCCTATAAACATAACAGGGTTTAGACACAGGTAGCAGTGTATTCTGGCGTGTAGTTTCAATCTCCTGCCTAAGGGCTGTTTCAGACTGGCCATTAGAAACTGGCTTTAATGGCACCAGTTAAAAACAAGGTAAAAGCTCGGCCTCCTGGGGTACCAGTATCCTTGGGAAGCATAATTTGTTATAATTAGCACTGTGATTAGTGTACAGTGTCTGCTTTACCTTATTCTTGAGTTGCACGATGCTCCAAGTTATTCTACATAATCTCTTGGATACCTGTGAACTTGAATTCATGTCAGGCCTTTAAAACTATAAACAGTGTGTCCTAGAACTGCCTTTCCTTTTCCCACCCCCTGTTTCTCCCTCTTGGTAGTTTGATGATTTTGGCCTGCTGTTCAGTTCAGGTTACCTCAGTTACCTCAGTTAAATCTGTTACCTCAGTTGCTGATGTCTAATTCAATTCTTCTTACAGCTCCAGAAATAGTGAACTATGAACCACTGGGACTAGCTGCAGATATGTGGTATGTTTGGAACTACCCTCACCTTGCTCTCAATTTGCTCTCTCCTCACCTTTTCCCAACTTGCTCTGAACAGAATCCATTCCACTGCAGCAAATTAAAACCCAAACAAAAAAACCCAAGCCCTTAAGTACAGTTGGTTCTGCCTTTCCATTTGGATACATCCTTTTAAAAGATGAGCATTTAAATTCCACAGTGTGACAATGAAAAACTTTACTGACGGCAGTTACAGAGTTAACATTTTGCCACTGTCCACTGCAGAGGAGGACTCGTAAAAGAAAACATGTTCCTGTCACACTTGTGACAGCTTTATTTGTAAGAGCCCTGCGTGCAGAGGCCTGCGCACTAATCTGATCTGCTGAGAAGGCAGGCAAAAGAGGTCACCCCAAACAAAACTTCCTTGCTTCTGTTTCTCTGTGTTTCTGATACGTACTGGGGTGAATACCTGCCGGAGTAAAATACAGAAACACTTCAGATAGCCACATTACTTGAAGTTGTATGTTAGATTTGGGGCCTATAAAGATGTTGGGGACTCTTCGTTAGGGACTGTAGTGGTAGGACAAGGGATAATGTGTTTAAACTAAAACAGGGGAAGTTTAGATTAGATCTAAGGAAGAAGTTCTTCACAGTGAGGGTGGTGAGGCACTGGAATGGGTTGCCCAAGGAAGTTGTGAATGCTCCATCCCTGGCAGTGTTCAAGGCCAGGTTGGCCAGAGCCTTGGGCGATATGGTTTAGTGCGAGGTGTTCCTGCCCATGGCAGGGGGGTTGGAACTAGATGATCTTAAGGTCCTTTCCAACCCAGACCATTCTGTGATTCTATGAAATTCATGCTTTCCCTGAAGCACCATTCTTTGAGAGAGATCACTTACCAAAAGCTGTCCGCATAGCAGCTACTATTGACTTTTTCATATTGTGTATATTAAGAACACAGATCATGTAGAACCTCTGCAATTAACCTCCTTTCTTTTTTAGGAGCATAGGAGTCATCACCTACATACTGTGAGTACAGTGGATTCGTTGTGTAGAAATGTTCCTAAAGCTCTGTTGCACTAGTATGAAACTGCTCTTCCCTTTAGTCATTTAAGAAAGGGGTGGGCAGTTTTTTGTCTAATGGACAAATGTTATCCTGCAGCCTTTCAAGTTTGAAATAAGGGGTAAAAGAGGAGGGGCGTTATGAGCAGATGAAGAACAAGTATCTCTAGCATCACTGGTCATTTCTGCTTCTTATGGGACCTCGTCAGCTCCAAATGGTACAGGATGGAAAAGCCCAAGTGTATTGGTTGCTTACAGAATGACTATGAGCTACCAGCATGTGGAGGGAATATAAAGAGGAAGTACAGTAGTACCATTTGCAAGGTGGTTTATTTCTGGTGACTACAGGGAAGTTTTAATTTGCTTGTAAAGACAAATCAGTCTAGATTACTATGAATAAATGTGGTCACCCATATTCAAAAGGTGATTTTAAGTCAGGTTGGGAGCGGTTGACCGTGGGAACTGAGAATTCATTGTGCAGGAGAAAAAGGGCTTTTTAAAACTAGTAAAGCAAAGGCTGGTTGGGAATATCATTGTAGTCAGGAAGCATGAGGGGAAAAAATCAGTACTTTTTGGAAGGAAAGTGTGTCAACTAGTGATGAATAAATAAAAGGAGGAGATTTCGACAAGCTCAGACTCAAAAAAATGAGGTTCTGTGGGCATCCTGGGGACAAGCCATCGAGAGACTTTTAAGGTGGAGCTTGTCACCTTGTGAAACAGCTTGTGTGACAATGGATGCATGCGTTGGAGGAGCAGCACTCAGTGCTTCAAGAGTTCTTTCGTCTGGTTTGATAAGAGCATTACAGAAGTGATCGGATATTCTAGCTGCTTCTGTTGAAATCAAGCTCCTGTAACTGCGACTGCTGGGCAGCAGTGCATGGCAGAAGCTGCATGATTGGAAGTGTCTAGCCCTCTCATTCCTTCCCTGGGCTTCGGCTGTTCCTTATGGCAGAGGACTAACTTGCTGCCACACTTAAAGAAGGAGCGCTCCCATGCTTTTTGTGATGGAAGGGGTTGGTTTGCACGGTATGCTAAGTACTAGAAATGTGTATGCCTTTAGTATTGCCTGTTGAATTTAAAGCCTTTTGTTCTAAAGAAGTCTGAGTAAATGGGGTGGGTCTAATGAAACTGCCTACTTTAGCAAACATGACAGCAAGCAAACGGATGCCATCGATAAGTGCAGAGCTCAAAATGTGACAAGTCCTTAATTCAGCAACCAGTGGAGTGGTTCCCATGGTTGTAAGGGCAAAGCCTTTAATACTGAGGTCTGCTGTTAGATGTTTACAGGCACCGAGTCAGGATATGAAAAAATCACTTGCATTAGGTGCTAGGATTTGATAATCTCCTCATTTCACAGACCTCAAAACTAAGTCCCAAAGAGGCAAATAGAGCACTGTTGGCTTTGGCTGCCAGTGAAGAGCCAGAAGGTGGAGTTACAGCTGCTTCATGGCGTAGTTTTGGAAAAGGGAATAGAAACTAAGACTCTAGGGCAGGTTTCCAAGCTTTAGTTTTGGAACAATGCCCATGGTCTGTGGCGAGGTGGCTGCTTGTAGCCTTCTTTGTGGCTAACAGAAATGGAACAAAAGCTTAAGAGGGAGAATGTAAAACCCTTTAGGAAGTGAGACTGTTGCTTATGGGGTGACATTTACTGCATCAAAGAGAACTGGAGGACCTTTTACTCATGCTGCCTTGCTGTGTCAGCTGTTTTGGTGTTGTATGATTGTAGAGGGAGGGGAAACAGTTCATGCACTCAAATGTTTGTTCTGTGGGTAAAGCCACATGGGGTAGCTGGGGTGAATGGCCCAGGTGGTCCCATTAGCTTTCTGCTTATCCCCAAATTCCCAGCCAACATGGCAGTGGCATTACAGACAAGGTAAAAGGACTGTGAGCAGGGTCATATAAGCAGGTGGTTTAGTATTCACAACCTCAGTTTAGATCCTAGGAACTTACTGAAGCCCTGTTTTGAGCCTGCTACATCCTGGAACTGTGCTATCAAAGCCAGACGTAATAGATAAGTGTAATAATAGCCCAGAAGATTTTCAAAAGGGATGAGATCAGTTTCCTTGGTATAAGTAACATTTCTTATGAAGCAGACTTTTGCAAGTCGGCATCCCTGTGGATTGGGGGAGAGAGGAAGGGGAGGGCAGGCAGGCCAGGAGGAGTCTGCAGTGTATCTGTTCTGTGCAGCAGAGGTAAATAGGCATCAAAGATGAAGGTTGTCAGTCACTGTTGAGAGATGGGCAAAGCAGGGGGGAAGATTTTTCTGATAAGATGCTGAATGACTTTTTATCCTGATGATGTCTCCGTTATATCCTTGCAGTTGGAGCAGAGTGCCAACAGAGCGAAACTCTGCATTGCTCAGAACCAGTTGGGCTTTCTTGCAGCCAAAGTCCTTTTGTTTGTGGATTCCTTTTAATGAGCAGCATGGCACTTCCTCTCCAGTGGAGTTGGCTCCTAGGCAAGGCCACGCTCCTGGTTGCCCATCCCGTACTGTATTTTGGTTCCAGCTGAGGAAGGTCTCTTGGCTGAACCCACTGTGCAAGGAACTTGTCAGTAGCTTTGCAGACAGGAAAGCAGTAGGGACAGGGCTTTTCCTACCCAAAGAAAATCTATAGAAACACTACTTTCTCTGTTTGAAGCCGATGGAAGCTTCTGCCTGGTGGTATTCGTGGGTTCACAGGGTTAGAGACGCTTCTCTGCTGAAACTTCTTCTGCTTTGGTTAGCAATGACTTCAATGAGACCCTTGGGAGAGGAGACTGCATTTTTATCTGTGTGTTTGAGTTAGCGCACATTAGAGACTTTCAAGACGAGTCTGATTCATAACCCATAGATATAGTGAGCAAAAGCTCACTGTTATTTCCCATGTAGCTGCTACAACACGAGATCCATAAATGTCCTGAGACTATGTTACACAATCACTGTAACTTCAATAGGAGACCTCTGCTGTTTGTTTTTCCAACTGATTTTTTCTTTCTGGCTTATCTAGCCTCAGTGGTGCTTCTCCTTTCCTTGGAGAAACTAAACAAGAAACACTTGCCAACATCACAGCTGTGAATTACGAATTTGATGAAGAATTTTTCAGCAACACCAGTGATTTGGCAAAAGATTTTATTCAGAAACTTCTGGTGAAAGATACACGGTAAGTGTCAATTCAGAAAGATCCACTTGTGTCTAAGATAAACTTGGTAAAATGTTGCCTGGCAAGTACTCCTCAAAGCTTTCCATGAGATTTCTGCAAGACCTCAGGCCTTAGAATAGGCTGGAGTAGGTGGGATTTGGTGACAGGTTTGCACAGGTCTAGCAACCTCCTTTTAAGAAAGGACAAGGCCCTGATACTGGTTTGTCTCATGTGCAGAGTTAGTCCCTCTGCAGTGCTGTGTTTTCTACCTTTGATTCTCAGTGCTCTTCATGTGCTGTTCACCAAACTGCTACAATGCAGAAGGAAGTTAGGATTGACTAGATTTGAAGTATTCCTCTCAGAAATGTTGCTCTCTGGAAATGGCAGCTCCTACAGTGATGAAATACTGTGTTCCAAAGGACAGTTTTGATGTCGCATACCTTGATTCAAACATAGTCATATTAAAGGTGTGTAGAAGGAATTTATTTTGTAAGCAAGTAGGATGAACAAAACAAAGTCAATGGACTTGTGTACCAGCTATTTCTCATTCATGTCTGGGGGGGGTTGTGGTGTCTTTCAGGAAACGGCTTACAATTCAGGAGGCTCTGTCCCATCCATGGATAACGGTAAGTCTGACTAGACACACAGATGTTGGGTTTTACTATGAGCAAAGCAAGGGTGATGTTCTCACTCTTACTGGTATGTTAAATGGAAAACTGCCTTCCAAGTACCTAGTGCCACTGTGTGTCTCAAAGAGATGCACTGGGAAGAAATTGGTTGGGTCTAACTAAATTCTTGGATTTCTGCAAATGACCTCTTCTTGTCAAAACTTTCCAAAAAAAGGGTGACAAAGCTTTGATGTTGTTGCACATGACAGTATCCTACCTTAAACCAGGGTTTGCATTTTTCCATTCTTCTCAGTTTGCATGGACATATGCTACCTGTTTGGTGTAGTGCTTTCATGAGTTGAGATTTGACTACAGCCAATGTGGAAAATACCATTTCTCTCAAGATACAACTGCTGTACCGAATGTGCTGGTTTGCTTACATCTGTGTGCCTGTATGTATGTATTCATCATAAACATGGTTTGCTTTTGTGGATAAGTCTCTCATTGAAAATACATTTAGCTAATCTCAGCATGACTAATGAGGATGTTCGGAATTCAGTTTTTGCTTTGCATTGCACAAAGCATTAACTGGAATGTTTTCAGGATTGTTGGTCTTCCCCTCACAAATATTGATGGCTTTGAGATTGTTAACTGCTAAAAATTAACATGAAAATCAGTCGGGGCCCTGTTATCTACACTTACCATGTTGGAATGAATGCACATCACTTGTCACATTCGGGTTTGGGCTTGTGTGTTGGTCTGTTTGGTTGCTTTTTCACTTTTAATCAAACGCATGAAGGAAAGCCCGTGGGAGCAAAGGCTCTCCCAGCACTGTGGAAGCTCAGACTGCATCCTGTGTGTAGAGTTTTTGATTACTGCACTGTCTTGTGAAAGGTCAGTAATATTGGTTCCTCTGTCTGATGGCTCACCAGCTGAAAGAAGAAACAAAAGTCCAAGAAAACAAGAAGGTTGAGAACACGCAGCTGAAGACAAAACGCCTGAGGGAGTACACCATAAAGTGCCATTCGAGTATGCCTCCCAACAACACCTACATCAACTTTGAGCGCTTTGCCCGGGTCGTAGAAGACATTTCACTTATGGAACGGGGGGTTAGCACTTTGGCTGCATCCCACGATTCCTTACAGGAGGACATTGATGCTCTGGTTTCCATTTATAATGAGAAAGAAGCTTGGTATAAAGAGGAGAATGAAAGTGTGAGGCACAAGCTGTCTCAGCTGAAGTATGAGTACCGTAAAATTGAATCCCTGAAAAGACATCTACAAGATGATATCAAGACTGTAGGCACTAGTCTTACAGGCATAACCGGGAAATACGCTGATCTGCAGAGTCAGTATGAATCTCTCAGTCAAGAACTTTCTGAGGAGCTCAAGTGGATACAGGATTTAATGAGTAATTTTCAACTGGAAAATGAAGCCTGTGTGAATGGAAACTTTGACTCTGTTTTCAACAAAGATATTAATGAATCACTAATGGAGCTGTTAAATAGATCTCGCTGTGAAGAATTTCTTGCAGGCTTGAATCTTGATGTAGCAGCATCACATCAGTAATACTGTTGATCAGGCTGGGTGCAGAGTTTGCTGCCTGTTTCAAAGTACAGCAGTGTAAAAAGTTTTCATTGCATAGATCCTACACAAACCCCATGACCTAGATCTAAACCAGAAATTCTCATGTGTTGCACGAGATGCCGATCAAAAGCTCACGGTGTTCTATAGCGTTGAAGTGTTTTTCCTGTGTTCAGTGTCTGAACTTACAGGAACTAGATCATCACAGTGTTATGGACACATCTAACCCTACAGCCTTTTGCATTGCCTGCATCATACTTCATCATGTGTGACAGTTCCTGAAGATTACCGAGTAATTAACTTGGAATAAAGAGTAGGTCAGTTGATACTTACTAGAAGCTGGATGCCTGGCAAGTAATAAAAAATCTCATGATAGCTTCGTTGGTTGGATGAAGGAAAGGTTGTGCAGACCTGCTGCAGGCAGTCCTACAGACCACGTGAGAGAAATATTTGCAAAGGTTAAATCTGCCTTGTACGCCAGAGTCAGCCGTGTAGTAATGGAACATTTAGCTGGAACTGTAGAAATGCTCTGTGAAATGGCTGCTGATGAAGAAAAGTTAAGATTATTTTTAGGCCAGTTATGCAGGGTGAAATCTTCTTATCATCAAAGGTGTCAGTTGTTGATGAATCCTTTAGTTTAAAATTCAGCTGAGTTTCCTGTTGTGTACCGAAGAAGTCCTATTCACATGACACAACTGGGAACTTGTAATGAACTGATCAAGTAACAGTGTATGTAATTTTTACAGTGCAAATGTTAATTTGTGAGTGATAAGTGATAACACAGAGTTGTGGTTTGCTTTCTCCAGTAAAGATGATGAGAAAGCTACAACTGATGTAATGTGTGGTGTGGGATTTGAGACCAGTGTTCTTGCTGTGAAGGTATTATTTTTCCTTAGGTTTTAGAAAGTAAAAGAAAAAACAAGTTGTCCCAAACTTGACTTATGTCCTGCTGCTTTGTGTTTCAAACACATCATTTGATTATACTGTATTAATATGCACAGATGTTTGCATCTCGCTTTTGGACACAATAAATAGTTACTTACGCAGAATGCGGTTGTTCCCTGGTGGTGTAGCTAGTGACTGAAAAAGACTATCAAGCTTCTGTGTACTGAGGAGTTACCAGCCTTGGTTCTGTGGCTAGTTTCCAGCTAACCCTGTGCTTAGCTGTGTGAGTTCATTGCAAGGTAAAGGTTATGCAGCTAGAAGTGGTGAGATAGTAGCCAGGCATCACTGCTCAAGTCCATCTAGAGAAGATCTTTCTATCAGAATGTCTTTCACTGCCCAGCCTCACTCCTCTTTTTCTACAGAAGTTAATAAACTAAATGGAACTGTTGTTCTTCAGAACATTATTAAGAATAATGTTTACTACTTTGATAAAAGTAAACTCTCATCCAATTTGTTCAGAGCATAATGGACCAGTCACTGCCATGTCCTCCTAAAGATGTGCAGAGGCTGGTGAAAATTCAAGAGCTCTGAAAAGTTGCTCAATAGGGATATTGTTACTCCTGTCATCGTACTCGGTGGAGGATGGAAACTGGATGTGCTCTTTCTTTGCACAAGATGAAAAGTTTCCTAAAGCTTCCAAGTGGTGCAGATAGCCAGGAGATGTCCTGGCAAGGTGGTGGTGACGGTTGGTGGGAACCGGGCTCCGCTGTGACAAATAGTATTGAGAATTTTATGTATGCCTATTTTTTATTCTTTTAGAATGCTTCAGTCATCATTTCTGCAATGTTCCTTAGAGCTGGAAGGCCTGCAAGATACTATGCAGGGGAACTGGAACACAAGACTCCTTATGAAAAAAGTCCTGTTGTATAAGGGAGAGAGTTTTAATTCTTAAAAAGTAACTTAAAGCTTAGTGAGAGTTCCTGTCTGCAGCAGAGATACTCAGGAAAGAGAATCTGCCTTCCCTCAGCTATGATCTCATATTCTCTGTTCATCTTGGTATTCTTTATGAACAAATACACTGGCACGATGAGAAGGAACATTAAATGAGGCCACTCTGTCCCCAAGGTGAGGTTAATGTTGTGACTCAGTCCTTGAGGCTAATGCTTTGTGAGCTGAAGGAGGTCACTGACATCCTGCTTTTGAGAAGATATTCTGATGATGGGGAAAACAACAGGGTCACTGGTGTATGCAGGCCACTTAGAAACTGAGAGTCTGTTATTAAGAGCCCGGAGTAGCTTACTGTGAAGTGGGCTACTTCTGATGCAGCGATGATTTTGCAGCTGAAAGGGCTCTCAGAAATGGCTCATCGTGATTGTACAGCCGATGTTTGGCCAGTGACATCTTTTCTACTTGAGATTGATTTCTACTCAGTGTTTTGCTAGCCATTTGCAGCATGAGGAAATGACGTTTAATGCTTGAACATTCCAGTTCTGTTGTATGCAGACAGTGTATACCTCTACATGAGAAAGAGGCCTAATTGATAGCGTGACTCCTGGAATTTCTGCTGGGATATCTGCACAAATGCTGTACCTGTAGCATTTGACCAGGAAAGTGAATGTGTTGTCTCATGAACATTGTCAATTATTTTGCTGAAAAAAAAGTTTAAATCCTCACTGCTGTGATTTCCCTTCTCCTTTGGTGCTCTTGCTTCTACAGGTGTCTGGCTTGGTTGCATTCCAGTCCAGTTCAGTATAAGTATTTCTGGTTTATCCACCTCCTACATATGCAGATCAGAACTGCAGGAATAGTTGCCACTCCATAAGCTCCATAGTCTTTGAAGGGTTGATTCCTGGCCTTTCTCTTTTCCCTTTTACCAGATCTGGTTTTGAACTTTTTTCCCCTCAATCTGTCACATACGGTTTTCTGGACTATGCAAATTTTGATGTGGTTTTGGAGTGAAAAGGTGCTTTGTTTTCAGAAAGGCTGTGTCAGGGTTGCAGAACATCTGTTCCTTAACATCAGATTGGCATCCAACCATTTTAGGTGTATGTCTGAATTCTGATATGCATTTTTTTTTCTTGCCTAGTTTTCCATACTCAGGTATTGCAATTCTTTCCTCGTGTATGTATTGCCAGAGTATCAATGTCTTGTGCTGTCATACTCTGGGTATGGTTAAAGGACAAAGCCCAAGTCTTTTCAGTGGTGTGCATCCTCATCGCTAATATGAAATGACAGCTGACTTTCCCTTTTCATTGCAGTGATGACAGCAAAACGTTGGAGCGAGCTGGATGGAACGCCGTGAAAATGATTAAGGGATGGGACTGTTTGTGAAAGTGGGAGAGGCTGAGAGAGCTGGGATTGTTCAGTGTTAAAAGGAGAAGGCTTGGGGGCATCTTCTCAATCTGTGTGGTGGAATGGAGTAAATATGTGGTGGAATGGAGTAAAGAAAACAGAGCCAGGCTCTTCTCGGTGGTATCCAGTGACTGGACAAGAGGCAGTGGGCACAAGCAGAAAAAAATAACATTTAAACATTCCAAAGAGCAAACAAACTTGTTACTGAAGGACAGGTCGAGCACTGGAACATGTTCTTAGAGGTGTTGTGGAGTGTCTGTCCTTCAACACCCAAGCGAGCTGTGGCGCTAGGCAAGCTGCTGTAGCTGACCCTGCCCCGAGCAGGGGCTTGGACGAGAGGATCTTCAGAAGCCCCTTCCAAACTCAACTGTCCTGTGATTCCTGGCAAGTGTTGACCAAAGCTGGTCATGGATTGCTTTTCTTGGGTCACCTTCTAATTTTGCTTGGGATCTCTCAGTCTCAGACTGATTGCAGATTCCTTACAGTGGCAGGTTACCTGGGCTTTCCTGAGATTTTGATAAGCAGACAGGGTTTCATCGACCAGGTTTGAGAGAGACAAGAAAAGGGCTACCCTATGGTACAGTTTTAATACTTGGGTTGTAAAGTACAGCTAGCACCTTCTGGAGTTATTCCCTATTTCACATTCACGTGCTCTTCAGAGCTGAAGTGACTGCCTCAAACTTACCTATGTACCTTCGAAATGTCTATAGCACAGCATAACTTTTTTATTCTTTCCTTCTGCAGTATTCACCTCAGCTTGGTAAAAGCTGTAAAAGCACAATTCAGAAAAGGTGTGCTAGAAGAGCCAAATCCTGGAAGTGAGCAAAGGGCCCTAATGTATCTTTGGTTTAAAAATATCCTTGTACTGTAAAGGGCAAAATGTGAAAACTTATATCTGAAAATGAAGAAAGTAGCACAGGACCTACAGTGTGGTGATGCTGGTTTAGTTCTGCCATGATTTCTAGCAGTCCTGTGCAAACTCCCTGAGCAGCAGTGTGCTGCAGTGCTGTTGATGTGTGCGCATCTCCTCCTCCTTTCTGTCGGGCCTGTGTGGAGCCTTTTCATTCCTCTCCCAATGCCTTTCAGAAAGAGAGAGGTGAATAAAGGCCAGATGATATGAGCTCCATCCAGAGAAGATGGTGCAAGAAGCATCTCAGCAACTTTACAAAGTGGAAGCGCTGCCTTAGCACCCTCTAGCATCCCCTTAGTTACATCTCTCTGTTGTTTGGCTGTCCTTCCTCCTGTCCTTCAGCTAGAAAAGCTGTTCCCAAACCTTTTGTTTGTTTTTCATGTGAATCATTATGAAGCAGACGATAGAAGTGGAGGCTGGAGCAAAGTCCAGGCCATGTGATACACCTTTTGTGCCAGGTCGAGTGGCTAGAAAGGGGCAGCAATGGAACTTCTCAGCACAATTTTGTGCACAGGGCCAGATGTGGCCATGGACTGCACTGGGTCTAGGATTTTGTTAGAGATCAAAGGGTCCTGTCCAGGCACAAGGCGGACTAGATTTAATTATTTTTCTTCTGCTTTTACCTGTATGAATCCACAGCTTCTCCAGCCAGGATTCTTTCACCCAGCTCCAGAGCACATGAAGATTCTTATGTATTTCATGCACCAGAGGGATCCAAGCAATAAAACTGCTTTCTTATCTTCCAGCCAGTGGACAAGCGACAGGCTTTGGTTCGGCAATCGTCTGTTGTTAACATGGAAAACTTCAAAAAGCAATATGCTAGAAGGCGATGGAAGGTATGACAGTGAGCCTTTAATCCTTCTCATGAAAGGCTTCCCAAGCCTCATGGGATCAGAAGGCAAGATAAAACTTGAATGTAAAATTGTAATACACAGTAGGTAAATGAAATGTTTTCAGGAATGTCTGTGCTGCGTATGTGTGGTCAAGTTCTCATTCTTCCCTCTCTCCATAGCTTTCTTACCATATTGTCTCATTGTGCAACCAGTTGTCTCGTTCCCTTGTGAAAAAGGTCCTAATAGAAGATGAAAGTGTGGTAGGTACATTTCTTGAATGGGGAGGACCAATTTTGCTGTGCAGTGATTTTTGCTGTCCTTAAATGGAGGCACAGCCCACCAGGATTGCAATGGTTTTAAGGGGGAAACCAGGTGGAATTGCAGTGCCCATTGTTTGTCTTTAATGCTGCTGTAAGTTGTGTTACAGAAATGCTGGGAAAGAGAGCTGGTGACTATAAACCCTTGAAATGCTAGCCACATTTATGCTGCAAAGGAGCAGCAGGGAGGCTGCAGGTTCTGTTTGGATACCATAGCAGTGACTGTGCCTGGGAAGTGAGCAGTGTTGGAGAGTCTGCACTGCTGCTCTGGTGCCCAGCAGTGTGGTGGAGGGTGGGGGACCCCTGCAGTGCATGTGACCTTCTGGAATGGAACTGAGAGATTTCTATTAGCTCTACTCTCCTCAAGAGATGATACACTAATAATGTTAGAACATCATGTTTAGCAGCATGGTGTCTCATTGGTGTGACTGATTGTGGGCTTTTTATTCCAGAGGAACTGTGAAAGTGACAGTGAGGATCTTTCTCAAAGAAAAGCCCCTCGTCGGAGGAGAAGTAGCATATCATAATGGAAGGAGAATTTCGTGAGCAGGAGACAGAGGAAACTTCCATCCTTGCTGAAAAGAGCAGCCCTGACAGCAGACCTTGACTTCCTGTCTGAATCCTTGGTATGATGCTTCTCACTTCTCAAACTGCACCAACAGCTGGATGATGTTACTGAAAGCCTGCTGAGCAGTTTAGAACGTTGGGGATCCAGATTCCCAAGGAAATGCTGCAACATAAAGGAGTGCCTTTATATGTTGAATGTTTCAGTGATACTTCGATCCATTTGGGATATCAACTGCACTCAGGACGTAGGGTTTCTACTGATATTCTTTTACTGCAGAGTCATTCACATTCTGCACAATGATTAAGACTGTGTGCATTATTATTTCAGTCAGGGAAATCGTTATTGAGTCTTCAGGAAAAAATTAATCATAGTGTCATTACATATCATAACCTTGATTTCATGAACCTAGCAGTAAAGAGTTCTGTACTGCAGTAAGAGCTGCACTCTGGCTGCCATCTCTGGCTGAAGACTAGCACAACCTGCCATTGTCAATGGGAGTACAACTGATGCTGGCCACTAGGAGGATGAGATAGGCCAGGGCAATTTTGGGATGAAAAAGAGGAAAATTCTGGAGTGATTTATATGCACCCAGACACAATGTTTGTACAGAAAGATAGCAGGATGCCTCACCAAACAGGGCACTTAAAAACCCAAAGTATGTGAAGAAATAGTCTTTATTAGACTTTGTTATTGTTTTATATTATTGTTGGCAAATTGGAGATTCGCTGACACCTATTTGCATAGGTGCTGTTTACATGTAAACCAAACTGCAAACAGCCGTGTCAGTCAGGGGGCTGTAGCCACAATTAGGGAAATAAGCACTTTGATACTGATGTAACATCTCTGTTCTAAGAAGTTGCATCATTTTAACTATATTAGTGCCTAAGCCAGTATTGTTCAATTGGTACCAAAAATGGGTATAGACTAGGTTATATTTTTTTAATTGAAAATATTAGTTGTTAGAAGTTCATATTTATTTTGCCATTTAATAAATTAAAAATTAGAAAGCAAGCCTGCTAGAAACAACTATAGATTGACAAACTGGTTTTGTTTGGCTTTAGGGTTGTCACTTCTAGGCCAAGGTTTTAGAGCTGAAGGTGTAAACTGGTGTTGAAAACTAGTATCAGGTTAATTCTGCCTGGCTTCCTCTTCCTGAGGAATAAAAATAAACCACTTCTATTTGTAGCTTTGTGTCCTTGCTTAGGCAGAGACTAAAATGAAGTTGATGAGAAAGTATTTCTGTGAAAGGTAGGAAATGTGTGAGAAACATTGGAGGAGAGAGGCTGAAAGTAGTATTTGAGGGAAGAAATAAAATGAAGGAGGTGATGGTGGGGACAAAGTAGTGGAGAGGAATGAGTAGGAGAGGGACAGGCAGGGAGCGGAGGTGAACCTGGACTGGGAAGGCTGATGGAAGGGAAAGATGATGTAGCTACAGGAACTGTAGAAGCAGGAGAATGAATGTTTTGGCAAATATGGCACTGAATTTTGATACTATTTATTTAACTTCCTTTTATTTCATGTCTTGTGCTGCCATAGCCTGTGACATGTGCCTGGTCAAGGGATAGGGCATGGGCTTCTCTTCGCGTTCAATTAAAAGGCGCATATTTCTGAGCTTTCTGTGTAATTTCCAAGGCAGAATCCTCAAAAAGTGCTGTAGTAATGCATATATTGAGGGAACAGTAATGGGAAAAACTGTTGTTTCAGGCTCTGGAGGCAATATTTCATAAATAGACAACTAAAAATATGTATTTGATAAAAAGCTGTTCAGCTTGCCTACCACATTCTGCTTCCCGCTTCCCCTGTCCCACGCGTTACCATTAGTTCACTCCCTGGGCTATGGAAAACCAAATAAACTTTGAGTCAGTGGCATTTTTCCAAATTCCCGGAGTTTCAAAACACCTTCATTTTCCACATTAGAGGTTGCAGGTTGTGGATGGAAATCACATTTCTGAAAAGTAAGCCCTGGTTAAAATAGCTGTTGGTTTGTTGTACCAGAAATATGCTGTCACAGACATGAGGTCATTCTTATGTAAAACCCAAGCAACTATTGAGCAAGATGAAGTCAGGCTTGAGAGCTGGGCTTATTCAGCCTGGAGAAGAGAAAGCTTCTTAAGGGGAGACCTTAGAGCAGCTCCAGTGCCTAAAGGGGCTACAAGAAACCTGGAGAGGGGCTTTGGACAAGGGATGGAGGGACAGGACAAGGGGAATGGCTTGAACCTGCCAGAGGGGAGATTGAGATGAGCTCTCAGGCAGAAGCTCTTCCCTGTGAGGGTGCTGAGGTGCTGGCACAGGGTGCCCAGAGGAGCTGTGGCTGCCCCATCCCTGGCAGTGTTCAAGGCCAGGTTGGACACAGGGGCTTGGAGCAACCTGCTCTAGTGGAAGGTGTCCCTGCCCGGGGCAGGGGTTGGAGCTGTGGGTGAGCTTTAAGTTGCCTTCCAGCCCAAACCAGCCTGGGATTCTGTGACTCTGTGAAGATGGGAGGCAGGGGCAAGGCAGGCAGGGGAGGGCAAGGAGGATGAAGCTTCAGTTTATTAACTGTGCGTTAATAAAAGATGCAAAAAAAAGGTGTTTTAACAAAGACGTTACGGGCAGCTCACGGCGTGTGGTCCGCAGTCACTTTTCTGCCCAGGTCAGCTGAGGACACGAGCAGTGGCTCAGTCGCGGGGGAGCCGCGGGCTTCGCCTCTCTGCGACACTCCATCGTCTCTTCGCTCTGCGTGGCTCCGAGTGATGTGGTGTTCTTTGCACAGAGGCTGCAACGAGCAGCGCTGGTGTCAAGCCAGGCTCTTCCTCGACTGTTCCGGACAGCAGCATGTGCGTATAAACCTCTTGTTCTCAGGACTAGTGCTTCATGTTTGTTAGGAAGTTTCATGGTGTTTTTCCACGTATCAATCCGTTCCATCGAGAGAGAAATTCAGGCAGCTCTGTGTACAGCGCTCGAGGACACCACGTCTGCATGGGGGTCGCTTCCATTCTTTACCGTGGGTGGT